TAAGTGTCATTGTAAAGAATTTTTTGCGTTACAAAATAAGTGTCGTTTTCGGTTTTCAATGCAAAATTTATTAATTTTGTTATGTAACTAGTTTTTCTATTGGTTAAAATATGGTTAAGTGTATAGGTAACTGTGTTTTTATATAGGAAATATGTAAAATTAATTATTTCCTTAATCCGTGTGCACAGTTGTAGAATGACACTTATAATGAAACAGATAGAGTATTTAATTGCGGCATGTGGAGTTCCATGCATGAGTATATCATTACTGGTCTATGTGCATGATTTGCATGGCTTCACTTATTATATTGTCATACTCAAGATTATATTGTTTTTTTTTCAAGTTATATTGTTATTAAGAGTATCTACGACGCTAATATAGTCTCGATATATGGCTTAAAGATTCAATTGAATGTACATGCAAAGGTCTATATGTTCTTCAATTTTCTTGCTCTATGTAAGTTTTCCTTACTTCTATATTCAATTATTTTCAGTACCAATTACTCCGTGAAGAAATTCAGAGGTTAAAGGAAGAGGTAAAACAAAATCCAACTTTTACTATTTTTTACTTTTCTCTAATGTTTGTGTACATATATCTTAATATAGTTACATAAAATAATCATTTTAGATTTTCCATAATTCAAGTAAGAAAAGTTTTCTGTACTTTGTCAAAATTATAGGAGAGGAGTCTCATTAAGGAAAATAAAGAACTGAAGGAGAAGGTACCCAAGTTTTTCCCTTCAGTAGTAAATGTTACTATAACCATGAAATATAGTAGTTTTGCTGATTGGAGAGTTTTTGTGAATTGTGTAAATAAAAGTGGTGTGGAATGGGAGCAATAGTAGTAGCATCACCAGCGTCAACCTTATCATCGGCTGAAGTGAACACGGATAGCAATGACAATATGGAAGTGGAGACTGGTTTATTCATTGGACCTCCTGAGCCAAGACAATCCAAGAAACTCCCTCCTTAAAGTTTAGCCAAGTTGAAAAAAAAAAGAAGAAGAAATTAAGCATCACAAACTTCAAAAATAATGATATTTATGTCTTATATATTGTCTTCCAAAAAGTTGAGGTGTCAATAAGCTCTCAAACATAGTGCAGTAACTTGTTCTTATTTAATGAGGTGAGCCTCAAAAGTTTCTATAAAAATATTGCTAAATCACTTGTGTATTAGAAATTCAGAACATATTAGCTTATATATTTTGTTTATATGTATTTTTAAAGAATATTGTTTACAATATAAAATAAACAACAATCTAATTTTCTACGAAAAAAGTAGAAATCATTAAAAAAAAACATAGTAAAAACGAAGCAAAATTACTATACTCTTGCCTAGCATTTACGAGAATGTGAACATCTTGCACATTCTGATTGAGGATTGTACTGCCAATTAGCTTCAATGGAGGAAAGAAAATAAAAATAGATTCAAAAGACAAAATAAACATTCCTCAAAGAAAAAAATGAAGAGCATAAGTCAGCCATAAGAAAGTCCAATCTAAGAGATACAACAGGTACTCCAATTTTTGGGAGAAATGTTTTGACAACTCCACACCAACAAATTATTCAAACGACGGTTGCCACTGAAGGGTTTCTCCAGCAAACATTGGAATGATCTCTCCAAATGAGAAGGATAAGACCTCAGGAACCTTCCAAGGAGCTCTCTTCAATGTAATCTTTGAAGAGTTTCTCGGAAGGCCATAGAAATCAGGTCCATTGAAGCTTGTGAAAGCTTCCAACTTGTCAAGCGCACCCGCCTGAATGATAAAGAGGTAAAAAAAAGATATGAACATTAAAGGAAAACTCCAAACCGGGAAAAGTAAAATTGTTTGAAGTTTACCTCATCAAAGACCTTGGCGTATAGAGACAATGCAACAGGAGCGCTGTAAATACCAGCACATCCGCAGGATGCTTCTTTTCTTCTCCGTTCATGTGGAGCACTATCTGTGCCGAGAAAGAACTTCTTGCTTCCACTAGTTACAGCTTTAACAATTGCTTCTCCTGCAGATATGAAGTAAAAGCATAGTGATCTTCAAGAAGACATGCAATCTCAATGATCTAGAGGGGAAGGGAAAGAACATACGGTGAATCTCTCTTTTGAGAACGGGAAGGCAGTAGTTGTGTGGTTGTAATCCACCTTGGAAAAGAGCGTTTCTGTTGAGAAGGAGATGTTGTGGTGTGACTGTTGCACCCACAAACCCTAGAAGCCAACACAAAAAGGGTATGAGCCTGGAAGATTAACAAAAAGACAAGAATGAGAGCTAAGGTAAGTTACAGAACCTTCTTTGCAAGATTCAACGAAGTTCACAGCATCCATAGTAGTGATGTGTTCCATCACTACTTTCAGCTGTGGAAGGCGCTGGATTAGAGGCTGCAGAACCGTCTCAATGAAGATCTTCTCGCGGTCAAAGACATCAATACTCGGATCTGTGACCTCTCCATGAACCTAACCAAAGAGCATTCCTTAGACAAGAAAGTCTAAAAGACAAAATGTCTAGTCCGCTGTGTGATTTAGTTACCAGAAGAGGCATGTTTTGTTTGACCATTTCCTCTAGTACTGGCAAGCATTTTCCAAAGAGGTCTGTGACACCATCTTGAGAGTTAGTTGTGGCTCCAGCAGGGTACAGCTTCACCGCGTAAACCACACCACTTTCCCCTATAAAACCAGATTATATTATACATAAACTGGATATGATGAAGAAAACAATGACACAAGTACTTACTGGCGAGCTTGATCTCATGAGGTTGGGTTTTGTCAGTCAAATAAAGTGTCATTAGTGGATCAAAGCTACTCCCAGGTGGCAAAGCTTTCATGATAGATTCACGGTAAGTAATAGCAGCTGCAGTGGAAGTCACAGGAGGCTTCAAATTCGGCATCACAATTGCTCTCCTAAAATGACTCGCACTACACACATGTACACAACCCATTTACTCATCAGACAAAAACACAAGCATCAAAGAAACAGAGGAATATATATATATAGAAAACAACAAAGGTTTATATATTAAAAGCACACACACAACCACTCCATTGATAAATAGTAGGGAGTTTATATGACCTGTGGGGAACAACAGCTTGAAGAAGATCGCCATCACGGAGATGAAGATGCCAATCATCAGGTTGTGTGATTGTGAGTTCCATTCTCACTGCTCTCGGCTTCACGTTCTTACAAGTTCTGTCAAACTTCAGTTTCTGAGATCCAAACCCCTAGACAAAGGAATAACTATTAAGTCAACACATTAACTTCTTCAGACGCACATGGAAAACGAGATATAATTAAAATAAAATTGAATATTTTGGGAGTAAACAAAACAAGACTCAAGAGTGGAGGAGGTATGGTATGGTACATACAACAACACTACAAGGAGAAACCAGAGTCTTGATCATCACAAGGCTTCGCAAGATTCACCTGTTTTAAAAGGGCAATAAGAGACATTCAACAAGGGATTGATTTGTATTGGCATGACATATGAAGACAGAAACAAATCACCGAAGCTTTTATATCTGACTGAAACACACAACAACATTTCAAAAGCTCATTCACACATTTCGTCGAACAACTGATCTGCAATAAAATGTTAAAGCTTCATTTACTGTACCTTACCGGTTAGAGTAGAGATGCTTTTTGATCAAAAGACGCCGGTGGAGGAGAAGTTGACGGTGACAGAAGACGGCGGTGACTGGAAGAAAACGTCGCAAGCCGACAATAGAAGTGAGAAGAGAACTTATACCAGGAAATGTAGTTTTAAAAATACAAAGGGGCACATTTGTAAATTTAAATGTTTAATAAACAACCGTGCTATCTTTCAGACCAAACAGCAACTTGAACAAAGATTTAATGCTTAGTACGGTGGATTTATTTTCATCCCCGAACATACGATGATGTGATGATCTACACGGCTTCTAATATATTAATCTACTGTTTACAAGACCTTTTGTTGTTCACAAGTGATTCAGGTGAAGTTCATTAAGGTTTCAATCACTGAGCATGAGCCACGTTTTGAGAGATTGTTTAATAGCTAATGATTGTGGAGTTTCCTTTTCGTTTGTTGATTATGTTTTCAATAAGCTCTGTTTTGTTTTGTAGATGAGATGATTAGCTGACATGTTTTACAACTAAATTCTAAACCAATTAAATTAAATTAACCGGAAAGATTGGGTTCGGTTAGAGCCGAATCTCGTGTCCTCTTTTTTGGGTCGCAACGAGACGAGATGATGGCCTAGTTATCCAAAAACGACTGTTAACGCCACTTGTTATCCCCACCATGACGCCACATGGGCAGCCGCAAAACACGTGTCATTCACTGATGCTCAGCAAAAAAAAACAAAAAATTCCAAAAGAGAGAGCCTCTAGAGTCTAGATTTGGGCAAGCACAAGCAAGTGTGAAAACGTGAAGCAACCCAACCCCTTTTAAACACACACACAAGAACCAAACCAAACACGCATCATCATCAGAAGATCCCTAAATTCCAGGAAGTGAGAAGATAAATATCTCAAAATCTAAATCTTCAAGCAATCGTTCAAAGTTCCAAGCTTTTGATCATCTCACACGCTATCTCTGTATTCATCTGCCTTCCGTAATTCTGAAAATTATTGAAGCTTTTGGGTATTGTTTCAAGAGAGAAGAGATGTGTAGTTTGTCGGCGAATATGTTGTTACCAGCAAAGCTGAAACCAGCCAACTATTCAGACAAAAGGAGTAACAATAGTACAAACTCACTCCTTGTCTCCAATACAAGACCCAAGAGGAAGAACCAATCCATTGTTCCCGTAAGAACTTCACTCCTTTGTCTCTTCATTTGATTCATAGATTAAAGTAAAGATGATATCTTGAAAGGGTTTTTTCGATTTGCTTGCAGATGGCAAGATTATTTGGACCGGCCATCTTCGAATCATCAAAGTTGAAAGTGTTGTTTTTAGGGGTTGATGAGAAGAAACATCCACCAACGCTTCCAAGAACTTACACTCTCACTCACAGTGACATTACAGCTAAACTTACTTTAGCTATTTCTCACTCCATTAACAATTCTCAGGTACCTGTGTAAATCTCTCTCTGATGTGTCTATACATTTCTTAGTTTAGGCTTTATTTGTTTTAGCAACTTAGAGGCTGATGTATATATTTGTTATTACTATATATAGTTGCAAGGATGGGCAAATAGAATATACAGAGATGAAGTGGTAGCAGAGTGGAAGAAAGTGAAAGGGAACATGTCTCTTCACGTTCACTGTCACATAAGCGGTGGCCATTTCCTCTTAGATCTTTTCGCAAAGTTTAGATACTACATCTTTTGCAAAGAACTACCTGTTGTAAGTTCTGTTCTGTTTTATTGGTTTCATGTAAAATCAAAATGTTGATTGTTGTGATATGTGTATTAGGTGTTGAAGGCTTTTGTTCATGGAGATGGAAACTTATTAAACAGCTATCCGGAGTTACAAGAAGCTCTTGTTTGGGTTTATTTCCATTCTAATGTCGATGAGTTCAACAGAGTGGAGTGTTGGGGCCGGCTTTGGGAAGCTACTTCGCATGATGGTCACAGGACTCAGACTCTTCCTGAGAGTCGGTGCAAGGAGGAGTGTAGCTGTTGTTTCCCACCGGTTAGCTCGATTCCGTGGTCTCATAGTCTTAGTAATGAAGGTGTTACTGACTACTCTGGGACACAGGCCAATGGAATATCAACTCCTAGTCCGGAGAAACTCTAGTGATTCACAACCAATATACAAGTTTTTCTTTTTTATGAAAACCTTTTGGTAGATCTAATATTGGTCTGGTTGGTTTGGTGTACACAATGTGGTATATGAAAATTTGTTTGTAGGTTAAATAGTACTAAAGTAAGTTAAAAATGTTTAATGCTTTGCGTCTGCTCTTCTGACCCATCAGTCCATCACAGTGGTAGCTCGTTAACAAAGATCAAAATGTAATAAAGTCAAAAGAAGTTGGTTTATGTAGACAGTAAACGAATACTAGAAATATTGTTATAATGGAAACATTGACGAAATGGTAAATTATTCATCATCACTAAAATAAAGTTAACTAGATTTTGATCCGCTTAAAAAGCGCGGAAATTTTTTATGATTAAAAATTTATATAAAGTTTTGTCTTAATTTAACGAATATTTTGATATAAAATCAGTTCACCAAAATTTGTGATGATGATTTTTTTCATTAGTTTTTAGTTTCAGTTTTTATTTTTAGGTTTTGGTTTTTAGTTTTTAAGTTTCTACTTTTCATTTTCAGTTTTTGATTTAGGTTTTTAATTTTTAAACCCGCTGAGTTAGTTTGAACTAATATTACCAACAAACAAATCTCAAATAATCGAACATCTAATTTAAAACTGAAAAGATGATAACAATTTTTTTTAAAAAATTTGAAATAGTTTATTTTGTAATAAACAAAGTAAAAAAATATAATATGTGTTTCAGCTTTTGGTTTTGGATTTTAGTTTTTAGATTTGGTTTTTGGTTTTTGGTTTTGCTTTATATTTTTGTAATTAGTAAATTATTTAAGAAAAATAAAACAATAAATTATTTAAAAATTACCATTGAAATTTATCAAAATAAAGTGATTGTTATTTAAAATAAAAAATATATTAACATGTTTTAAGTACATGATTAAAAAATGATTAATAATAGATAATTTTGTTTTGTTAAAAATATTAAATACCTTTTGGGTCTGAAAATAATAATTGATTTTTATCTTTTAAGGTGAAAAGTTTATTCAATGTTTTTGGAGTTTTTTTCTTAATACTAAGCCCAAAAACCAAACTATATAATTTGTTCAAAAAATAAAAGTAAGTCCAAAACTATATTCCATAAATAACCACTGGTTTAAATTAAGTATAATTAGTAGATTTCCATATTCCATATTTTGATGATATATATCCTTTTAGAACATTCCATATTTGTAGGAGAAAATATGTGTTTTCGGTATACACTGCCGTATTTTGAAGGTAGTTTACATTAATGTCGTCTGGTTTAATTTAAATAATACGGTTCAATTAATTATATGACTTATATTATTTATAACATTCTAGAAAGGGTCTAAATTTAAATGACAACCTGTATTAGTAGATAAAAAGAATGACTCTATTTTAATAGAGTAGATACAGTGAATTATCGTCTGCAACATATTATCTCACAACAACGGACTCTTATGTTTGACTCAGTTCCAATTCCAATACAAAGAACGGGACGCAAACAAGTGTGCAGATCTTTTAGAAAGCCATTAACTGCAAGATGACAGGACTGGTATATTTATCATTGTCGTCCCTATTCTTGTTTATAACTACTGATTCTTCGTAATTAATAAAGAGTTTAGCTTACAAAAAAGAAATATATATATATATATATATATATATATATATATATAAATATACTGATGTAATACACTGATGTAACATGTGAAAGAAAGGAGAAACGTGAAGGTAAAGAGATTGGTAGTGACGGCAAAAGACTTGTGCTGGTCTACGATACGAAGCGTACCGGCCACTCCTTTCTTCTAATGATTCCAAATCATTTTCTTGGATCTATTTGGTATCTTTCCTAAACAATCTTCTTTATTTGTTAAACCAAACAAAGATGACTTTGTATCTCCGACTCCATTAGTCTCTGTTTTACCTGTAATTTACGACCATATTGGTGAAGAGAAAAAGTACTATATAGAGCATGGGAACGAATTATTGTATTTATTATTAGTGTTCTTAAGTAAACAACAACAAAATTTTATATAGGATCGACGTATAAAAAGAAAAATTTGATTAAAGATATACAGTGTGAAAATTTTGTGACGAACTAGATGGTACTATATCAAAAGGGTTATCTTTTTTGCATCCGTGTGAAAAACGTTGGTTGAGAAGACCAACTCAGAGGCTGCTTTTGTTGAAGGAATGAGAGAGACATGTATCTGTCTCTATGTATGTTGGAATATCTTTTCACCTTATTGTTGTTCTACCAAAAAATGTCGACCCGATTTCACTATCCGTGTTCTGCTTAGAAAAAAAATATCAGAATTATTTACTCTGAAAATGGTTACAAATGTATATAAATTGAGTGATTTCTTACCTGAGATTTTGGTGATGGGAATACATTCCAGAACCTTAAAGTTTCATCTCCTGCTCCGGTTACAATTGTCTGTCCATCAGGTGAGACCGCAAGGTACAGAACACGGTATGTGTGACCGGTTAGAGTTGCAATCTGAACCACACAAAAAATAGACGGTTATGTTAACCACACATCCTTAATAATGCAGAGTACTATACAAAGACAAAGGTCAGAGAGATTTGTTACTTTGGACATGGTTGGATATTTCCAGACTATGATTTGGTTTTGGGAGTATCCGTGCGTGCTAACCAGCTCGTTTACATTTTTTGACCAAGCTAGATTGCATACCTGTCACATGCAAGAACATAGACGATTACTAACCGTTGGTTATGTTTCTTAAAGTCATGTCAAGTTAAGGAGTTTACCTGACTGGAAGTATCTATGGAACTTAGAGGAGTATTTGTGGTAGTATTCCAAAAACGTATGCATCTATCAGCAGTGCCACCACCAGAAGCAAGAAGCCCGTGAACATGAGGAGACCAAGCTATGGCTTTAACCGCTGCTGTGTGCTCACTATATTTTAATACTGGTTGTGTTGAATGTTGGTTCCATACAAAAAGCTACAAAAACATTTATAAACACACCATTTTAGCCCATGCTGAAGAGAAGACTAATAATGTAACCCCCAATCTATTAGTACATACTCGATTGTCGTTTCCACCAGATGCTAACTCTCTGTTGTCATAAGACCACTTGAGTCCGCATACCTCGGATTTATGACCTGTGAGTTTACTGACATGGTCTTCTTGACAACGTATGTCTCTCTGAAGAATACTCTTGTCTCTGCTACCAGATGAAAGAATAGATGAGCTCCATGCCATGGCTCCAACTCTTAGACGATGTCCTTCCATTGTTCTTGTTCTCTTGCACCGTGACGCATCCCATATCTAGCAAAACAAACAATTAAAGTCAAAAAATTCCGTTAAAATAAAACATCATACATTTATCAAATCTTATCTGCCAAAGTTTTAAATCCCTACAAACCCTTGATAGTTCTTTATTCGAGCATATCTTATCAATATAGAAAAACATCTTTGTATTAACTCCATTGAGATATATTGTTTCACTAATGATCAAGATTCCATGTATGACATGAACTATCTTTTACAATCAACCGTTACAGCATGACTGGACTGTATATATAGAGAGTGTAGTTACTAGTTACTTTCCTGTTTGATGTTGTAACTTAAGATTCTACGTTATACACAAAGACCAAAGAGGTAGAGCAATGAACAACAACAAAAAGTTAACGAGATCTAACCTGTACTTTCCCGGTACTAGTTCCAATAGCCAGATGAGTTCCACGAAAGGCCCAACCCACAGAGCAAACACTATCATCAGCTCCAAGATCACATAATTTAGTTACCTGTTGAAATTCAACACAACATCAAAACAAGCGTTCTTTGAAAAGTTACTTAGAATTTTGAAAGTGAGAAGAGAATGACACTCACTTTGCTACTACAAGCGTTCCACAAATAGACGCAGTTCCCTAGTCCCACCGCAAGGACATTCTGCGCTGACCAGTCCACAAGATTTAAATAGAAATCATCTTGCAAAGCCGGTGCATCTAGTACCTGACATCAGAAAGGAAATACTCTGTTATATCATATCCATACCAACATTGCCCACAAAAAAATGTCCAAATCCAATCAAGCTTCAAAACATCAGTTACCACACTTAAGAGCTATAGAAAAAAAAACAAGCATTCTTCATTTCTGGTTTGATCTATAATATCAAAATCCAACCTCAAGACTCATCACATCACTAAGATCATAATGCATCAACTAATTCTAACAACAAAAAGTCAAGAATCTAAAGTCTCCAAACTAAAATCTACAGACATTAACACAACAACCCATCCAAAAAAAAAAAACAATTAATGCACATCTAACTCAAAAAAAAAAAAAGACACAACACATGATCTCGATCGGTTGTAATAAATTCGACAATCTACATCAATCCGACAATGCACGATCGGACACAAAAAGCAAAAAAAGACACAAACCTTATACGGCGATCGCGACACTTTCCTCAACGCCTTGATCGGACTGTGACTAACACCAGGACCATTTTCATCAGACACAAACGGCGAAAACGAATCCAAACACCGATTAGTCTCCGTCTTAAACCGAAAAATATTCCTCGAAGTAGAGAATCCAGTGATGTCCCGTTTCTCCGGCGTCTCGGGACCGAACATCGCGGCGCGCAACAGAGTCGCGTAAGAGCCAGAAGAAGCAGCAGCTCCATCTTCTTTCGCGTCTTTAGCGAGATCGAAGAGAGCATAATTGGATCCGGATCTACTTGGTATGAATCTGTCAGAGTATATGGACCGTGATGGTGATGGAGAATTCTTGGCATTGATCAGATGGTTGATTCGTGACTCGAGTGTTACGGTCGGAGTGTTCATCGACGGAGGAGTCACATTGCTTGCGGTAGGATCTTCCATTTGAGAGTTTTGACTTTGTTTCTTTCTTCTTCAGATTTAACTGAAGTGTTGTTGAAACATAAACCTCTCTTCTGTCTTTTTATTGATTTTTTTGTTATTTTTTACCTTTTTTATTTATTTTCCTTTTTCCCGGGAAATCTAAGCGGAAACAGAAAATGACATGTGACTTGATGCGGAATTAAGAGGTTGATCAGGTAGGTGTTGGTTTGGGTTGGTTACGTCATGCTTTTTTACAGCTTTTTTATGTTTTAATGGGCTTTTAGCTAGGCCCATAGAGATCTTACCTAAATATTTATTGTTTTTTTAACCCTACTTTCTCCCATTTTCTTTAGGATGAGTGAAATCTTAGAGTTGACAAAAGTTAAATCTAGATGGCAGATCCAAATAGTTTAGATAAATCTCCTAGATCTACCCCAACTCTCAAGCTAAAAAAAATCTAAATAAAATAGCATCTCAATTTTATTTAAAATAATTTTCGTGACCAAAACAAGACATACTGAATAAGAAATCAATCTGATTAAAAGTTATAGTTATTTACTGTCTTAAGAAATTGTTTAAGATATATTAATTTACAATTTTCTTGATAAAACCAAATTGAAAAGGTTTTAAATAAACCAAACATCTTCCTAAAATGAATGAATATTACTAGCAAGTTGCAAATTAGTGAGTAGATGTTTTTGTTTTAACGTCTCACGTTCGGAGTTAGGTGATTTGTTTTCTATATGGTACATCATTAAATCAAGAGACAGTTGTAGTAATAAAGGAGAAAATATTTGTATTATATTTTTTTAAATAAATCTAATAAATTAAAAACAAAATAAAAGATAAAAGAAAAGAAAATTCATGTAATTACGATGTTTGGTGAAAATAGCGTTCACGTTAACAATAATAACGCTATTAGCTAGGAGTGGGCATATTATCCGGGATCCGGATTTGATCTGAGATCCATTCCAAAATTAGGATATCCGGTGTGTCTGGATCTAAATTCGAATAGTAAAATCTCGAATCCGTGTAAACCGAATCCGGATCCGGATATCTTAATTTCTAGATCCTGATATCAAGATTTGGATTCATATTTTAAAAATATATTATTTTTTTATTTTATTATTAATTATATCTGATATATTAATATTTATACATAAAATAAGTTTAATAATATTCTACTTTTATATTAATAATATTATATGTCATATATATATTCATAAATTATGCTTAAATATTTAATTTATGTATTATTTTTAGAATATTTGATTTTTTTAATTATTTTTACGGATCCGAATCCGAATCCGAATCCGGATACCCACGGATATCATAATATCTAGACAGATATCCGAAGTCCGAATATCCGGAAGACACGAATCCAAATTCGGATACCAAAATCACGGATCCGGCGAATCTGGATACTTAAAAATTTATGGATATTTGGATCCGTCCCACCCCTAATATTAGCTAATCTATAAGGACACGTCCCTTGTTGTTGTGTGGAGGATGGGAATATCTCCTTCATAAAATCAGAAATATAAAATGGGAATATAGGCTAAATTGAATTGGAAAAGAAAATTCAAATGAAAATAATCAAATCTGTATTTTTGGACACTGAAAAATATCAAATCTTATAGTGTGAAAGTTGGGGGGGGGGAGGTTGTTTGAAATTTAAATCTTCATAATATTATGGACCGTAACATATATGTATATACACCAACTTAGAAAAACATATATGTAGTACTATTAAAAGAGAAAATGTTCGATTCTGTAAAAGAGAAAATGTTCCATTGTGTTACAAAAGTTTCATTCTGCAAAAGTTTTCACTTTTCCAGAGGGGGAAACAAAAAAAAGAAAAAAGAAAAAAGAAACAAATGCTTCTAGCGGTTAATGCGGTTAATTAACAAAATGGAATTTCACTTTGGATTCCTCTCAAAGTAATTATGTAAAAAAATTACGTTAACATAAAATTTTGAGGAAATTCAGAAAACATATTATAATTTTATCGATGATGATTCAAATGAGTGTTTTTATACCTATCATGAGGCATAACAGGAAGAGTTCTAGTTCCAGAAGCAGTAGGAGCCCTCACATGACCCACCATTGAAACCTGAAGAGCTTCTTCTTCATAAGCTCTTCTCTCCATTTCTTCTCTCTCTGCTTTCTTCTTCCCTTTCACCAACATCGCCACCACCAACAACCCTAACAGTATCGCTCCAATCCCTGACCCAATCACACTCCCCACCGCCACTTTCCACCGGCTCAACTTTCCTCCACCGTTCACCTCCGTCGATGGCGTCACCATCCCATTCCCACCACCACTACTATCATCATCTCTTCCTCTAGCTTCTGTCTTCACCACTAGAGCGTAATGCCCTTGTCTTGTTCCTTTACAAACATAAGGTGAAACTTGATCACTAAACGTTGTGTTCCCGTTGCTTGTGAAACACGCACACAATACTGATGAGTTCTCCTTCGTCGTCTTAGGGTTATCACTTGCCGTGATGTTCAAGAAATCGATCAAGATCGGGTTTTGATCGGTACCAACAACGTTAACCTCGTAAGGGTTCGTGGCCACACCATCAGGGTTAGCGTTGTAAGCTAAGAGACCAAGAACCGGTGATGCAAGCTGGTAATTGTAACCGGTTAAGTTATAACCGGTAGAGTAGATTGAAGACCAATTCGAACCGAGGTTTTGTCTAACCAGCATGACTCTCTCAGGGCATGGCTCCACCGTCACGCCAGAGCCGATGTGAAACTCGCCGATTCTTGAACCGTAACGTCTCAAACTACCGCACCTTAACTTAACCGTGTCGATATCTATACCGGAGAAATTAGAAGGGAGATGGATTTTTTGTATGGTGCCTGTGTTGAGATTAAGCTTATAGTTTCTAATGGTGTAGTCTCTGATCATGAGATCTAAAAGACGTGTAGATTGGACTGATTGAGAGTTAGAATGGTGGAATGAGAAGAGAAGTGTGAAGAGAATGATGATCGTTGATGTAGAAAAAGAGAATGAATCCATGAGAGGATCAAGCGATCTTTAGGGTTTACAGAGGAAGTGAAGAAGAGTAAAGAGAAGAAAGTTTGACTTGGTGGGGATGTGTGTTTTAATTTTTGAGCAAACATTATAAACACTTACACTTCATTAGTCAGAGTTCTTTTTTACCTTTATACAGAAAGACATGATAACTATTAAAGTAGCATATGTGACCGTTCTCTAACGTATAGGTTTAAAGATTTAAATGATTTTCGTAACAGCAGAAAAGCAATTGATCGGTGTAGTAGTGGAGGAGAAAATTGGGTGAATGATGATAGAGGCATGGGAAGATGATGATCATGATTACTCTTCTGTCATAACCAAAAACAAATATACTAAATTATTTCATACTAATCAAAAAAAATATATATATTTCATACAAGGCAAAAAAAGAGGAGAGACATTGGCGTGCTAATATTCGTGTGACTTTTCCTCTTTTGTGTAATGGTTGTTGTCTGTCCTTTTATTATGTGTGTTCTTGACTTTAGTTCCTTGCTATCAATCAATCTTTATGATACACACCAATTGAACCTTTTTACACTCAAATTCACACTATGCACTAATCACGCTAACTGATCTTACCGATTAAGTCATGCAAACCACTCTTTCCCTGGGAGTGGTGATAAAAGACACGAAGAAGTAAAAATGAAGTTATATATAAGGCTTTTTCGAATTTTTTTTACGCATGAACATGTTTGTGATCCATCCAGTGTTTCATTTACGCTCCAGCGGTTTGAATAAAGGGTGAACCGGAATACACTTTTATCTAAGACATTTTATGATACACTGTTTGGCATATGGTTTTCTTCTTTTGTGGTTGTCATTGTTATTGTTTGTTTGTAGAGCAAGTAGAAAGAAGTATAAACTCTCAACTTTTTATCACAAGAAAATCAACAGCGGCAGAAAGTAAAATGTGCAACATTTTTCTGATACAGTATAATCATTTTAAGTTGAATTGGAAACTCAAATCTTAACAATAATATTACGACTCATAAATCAAGTTAAATGTTTAAAATTTGTTCAACAGAATAATTGAAACCAAACTAAATTAAACTTTTGTTATGACTTATATCTCAATCAACTATCATATTTACCTATGAAAGGTTTGTTGAAGGAATATTCATAAAATATTTCCCTTATTGCTTATCCAATATATATACTTACATATCAGAAAACATGTGAAAGAACATGGAAGATCTTAAGTATACAGCATCAAATTTATTTTGCCCCTGACAATTGATTCTTCTTTTTTTCCATCTTCATCTTGTTGAAACAAAAAAAAAAAAAACTTTACTATTTCATATTTCCATGTAAATGTAAAGTAGAATTACTATGTATATATGAAGATGTGTATTGTACCTCACATGGTTCAAGCTTGGCTTCCTTCTGGCAATGTGATCAACCGAGAACCCGAGTCATACTCCATCGCGGTTCCACAGCTTAAACCACGTAAGATTGATCAAAGATTCAGATACATAGTTATATGTTAAAACTCTCTAAGCAAGGTCTAATGCTACAATCTTACTTGGTGCATTTGACAGAGTTAGTTTTGCCACCACTAGAGATCGACAGAATTGTTCCAAAGAAGGAGGTATTCTCGGTTCCACAATTCGGACAAGGACTCTTGTTCCTATTCTTTTGCAAATATGAGGACTAATCAATGTATTCTTACCTTCAAGATCAAGAAGTCCTTGATGATCAGTTTTGTGATTGTTAGAGCCAGATATACAATTAAAGGAACGGCAGCGAACCATGTGAATATGAAACTGTATGGTTCTGAAAGAGCTCCAAGATGTATGTGATCTCAAAACCCGTAATGTCGTCTAGGAAGAAAAACCTGGAAGTAGACAGTTGAAATAAAACATGTTAGCAAAGGACAAAACATGGGGGTTCAAATGATTTGAATGTTCGAAAGAGAAGAGAGAATTGGTTATAGCTAGAGAAGACTCACAGTCCTAAAGCAACAACGGTTGCTGGAACATTTAGCAAGAGCATTTTGAAATAGTCTACCGGGAGATCACTATACACCTGATTAAAGAAAATCAAGAAGACTGTAATAAGTTTATGTCTTTATATATTATAATCTAAGCAAATGAATCTTATGTTATTTTTTTTTTTGAAACACCTAAGATTCATTTGCTCAGATTATATTATATATAATATAGATATAAACTTATTATAGTCTTCTTGTTATATTTACCTTTTTACTACGGAGACTGCATCTTGGACCCTCGCACACAATCTCGCTACCATCGATCTACAGAAGCAGAACCATTCATAAAACTGAAGCTTAGAGAACAATAAGTCACTGAACTGAAGCATAAAGGGAATGGTACCTTTAATTTCAGCTTGAGCTTATCAAATTCTTCATCATTGAGGATTGGATTTCCAGAAACATAAGCCATTGAAGCTTCCAAAAACCTTTGTTCATCAGAACGTGCGTTTCATAAAACCAATTCAAAACAATGACTTTCTGCCTAAGTAACCGAAACAAAGACATGAAATTTTGGACTTATAGTTTATTACTTAGCATGACAACACTGCTTCCTTCCCACATCAACTCCTCCTTAAGATTATCAAACTCCTCATTCGACATTATCGCTTTGCCATCATAATAGAAAGACTGCAAGAAAGAAAGTAACAATGCTCATGCACTTGAAGATTTGTTACATATTAAAATTTAAAAAAAAAGGATGGTTGATGGTTTATGTAGTAGCGTTACTTGCATGGCTTGGAGAAACTCTTGTTCCATTTCACCAATTGATTTCTTTTCAGCCTTGTTGATGCTGCAATACGGCATGATATTGCTATCAACGTCTTCTCCTCCAGCTTGACCTTTAAGGAAAGACCAAATGACCTAAACTCAGAAACTTGAAAGGTTTACAATTTTGAATGAGTTCGAAACCGAGACATGGGATGAAGACCTGATTTCTGTGTGGTGGCTTTAGCAGGCAACAAGAAGAATCTTTTTCTCAAGGAGATCGATCGTCCATGGCTGAGCGGATCCCACAGAGTCCTAGAAGCTGACGGGGGAGATGGAGAAGATAAACAAGTAGTGGGATTGCGAGAAACGGCGGAGAAAAGTCGAGGGCTTGTTAAACTGAAGAACATCTTGCCACCCATTTTCCCTGGAAGAAAAAAGGAGATTCCTTTTTTCTCTATTTTTCGAGAAAGTTTTGTCAAGATGAACCTTTGGTTGAAGATGAGTGTTGAGTTACTGTGAGCTTCAGGTTTGTTGTGATTATATTAATTATTATTATTTTTATTAAAATTTTAAATTTGGAGGGAAAATATATTCAGATAAGAGAGGTGTGGAGATGAATTCTTAAGATCTCTGATATTTTCCCCCCTCTCATCAGTGAGAAACATCTACCACGTCAGCATTTAATATCCACCCCTAGTAAATTAGAAACACAAAACTTATTAGCTTATAGACATGATTTTATGCTAGGAACTAGTAATTAAACTGTTGTTAAATATTTTCTCATATTAATATCAATTTACTAAAAAAAAATTATAATTATTTTGTTTCAGAGATTTAAACAGAGTAAGAAGGAAGAAATAAGGGTTATGAAGTTTTAAAAAATAAACAATACTCCCTCCGTTTCATATTAAGTGTCGTTGTAGAGAATTTTTTGTGTTACAAAATAAGTGTCGTTTTCGGTTCTCAATGCAAAATTTATTAATTTTATTATGTAATGTGTTTTTCTATTGGTTAAAATATGGTTAGGTGTATGGGTAATTGTATTTTTATATAGAAAATATGTAAAATTAATTGTTTCCTTAATCCGTGTGCACAGCTGTAGAGTGACACTTATAATGAAACAGAGGGAGTATGATATAGTCTCATTTTTCAAAAAAGAAAAAAAACACTTGATGGTTGATATTAAAACCAGCCCAAATGTTTTTGTAATTAACTGGTTTAAATTGTAAAAAACAAAAATATGTGATAGAATACAAGTAATACATGTGTACATTGGAGATACTATTTAAGCACGTGTACATGGCCACCTATGTGATGTTGAAGTGTCCAACTCGAAATTCGATTCAGATCAGTTCGGTTTGGTTTTCTACCGAAGTGAACACTATCATTGTTGATAGTGATTGGTTTAGTGTATTGGACCCATAACTATGAAACATTTATATCCTATGACAGTTTTTGAATTTTTATAACACTAAAATCCATTTTCTACTCTTGATACACTTTTTTAACTTGCTCTTTTTCTTCTAACTAAAACATAACTAACATATAATTAATAGGACCCACATAGTATCATCTTCTTCAACTCTTTTTATATTGTAGTGATAGTTTAACCCGACGAAAACGGTTGTGAGGGAAACGGTGCCGTTGCAAGCGGTCGGAGAAGTCCATCGTGGATTGAGAAGCAAAACGTGACGAAGCAGCCGGAAAGTTTCGTTGGCAGTGACCTCAAACCGAGAGCTCCATTCTGACATAGATCTACCATAATCCACACTATTTCCTCCTAGCTGTGGCCGTCATACTTGGAACAAGAGTTGTGGCCGCCGGAATATTCATTGCTTTGCCTCAAACCAAAGAGAAAGTTTCACTACATCAACAATGGTCATTTTTGTTATTTTCACTTTTGATCCTCCGTCTTTTACTTGTTTTCTAATTTGTCTCAAACTTTTAATATGTTCAAGTTTTTCAACGAATCTACCCTAGGATTTTCTGATTGTGCAATCGGGACCAAGTAATTGTTATTTTGTTTTGTCCCAATTTTTTCAGATTTGCAGATATTTTTTTTTTGATTTGGTTCTATTCCAAATTGTGTACACATTTACATATATACATAAATTGTGTATACACGTTAATATATGTACATAAATTGTGTTTACACATTTACATATGTACATAAATATATCAAAAGGAAAAATCATTAGATATGAATAATACACAAAATCATGTGCACACTTATTGTCATGTAAAGAAAATCTGATAACACACAAAATTATGTGTACACTTATTGAGATGTTTTTGTAAAAATCACATACAGTGAAACCTCTATAAATTAATAATGTTGGGACTACACC